AAATGGTAGCGGAGGTGCTATATTGTGGGAAACTGGCGGAAAAGCGAAGTGAAACGGTCAGAAACCTGCAGAAGAAGCCTTTGTTCTACACGACTCAGAAAGCAATTTTGGACGAGTTTCCCGTTGGCATCGTGCCAATAACCGCTACGGTAGGTAGTTCAAGTATGTACTGATATACCGCGCTTAGGTATGTATCTCCCCATCATTCCACATTCTTTTTTACTATTCAGTAGCAGTAATATTTAGATAGTTGACTAATTAGAATTTTTTTCTACTCCATAAACATACTTTTTCATCTCTAAAACATCAGGGACTGTCTAGAAAATGGAGCAAAACGTCTCTTGGCGAAGCTCACGTCCGCGATTGCATGGCTAAAAGATTAGGAATCCATCATCATCATTTCATTTTTCATCCACTCCCCCCCCCACCCCAAAGCGGCTCAACCTCTCTAACATTTCTCACGTCATCTCAGCAGCACTGGAAAATTCCCAGAAGTTGAAAGATAGAGACAGAAAAGGGGAAGATCTAGAGAGAGGCTTTCTTACGTTTAATATTAGGCTGTCTAGTTGATAAATTTTTTTTTATTTTCGGTTACTCATATCTTCAGATGTTCTCTCAGTAAGACCTGTAGTAATCTTGGTGGTATTTTTATTTGATCTTGTGATAAAATTATATAGAATCCTATTGGAATAAGGCAGAAAGCTCCTTGGGATGATCACTCTCTAAGTCCAAGTTCTGAATTTTCGATGTGTGGTTTGTGAGAAGCTCTCCCTCATTTATAATTTTTTTACAAAAATAAAACCAACTCAACTTCCAATACTGAACGTACTGCTGAGCTTTGAGCTGTTTAAAATCTTACCTATTTAGAGCTCTTCTCGACAGCTTCTGAAGATTCGACGCCGTCGCTCGTAGGCTACACGCTCGTGAATCTGTCAACGTTGTCGTCAGTAAGACATCGCTTGGTCAGCGGCGGTATGCTCAGCAGGATTTGCCCTCTAATATCGGTGGAAGACAAAAAGGAAATGGCTGTTGATGTTCTTGCGAAATCTAGCTTTTGAAGACGGTCAGTTCCTTGCATCAAATACTGATCCACTTTATCTCTGTTATTTTTTTAGCTTGACGTACAGAATAAAGCCAAGGCTGTACTTACGAAAATTCTCTCAGGACTCTTCCATCAACCCGCCCCCGACATTGTTCAGTTACCTTCAGTAGCTCGGGCGCTGTTGCACTGATCACCTAATAAGTGTTTGATCAAGTTTCCCCGAAGAAGAACAGCAGAGGTCAGCGCCGAAAGTGGCAGATGAGTGTACGAGCGCGTCTTGGTTTAATCGGACAAGCTTTTATGTGGTATAGCGGCAAGCAGCGGGTGGTAGCGAGCCGCCTTCCGCTCGAGTGCTACTTGTCGGTCGGACAGTGCTGACCGCAATCATTCCGGGATAGAAGCGCGTTTAGCGAGAGCTTATAAGTCCCTTCATCCCTTCATTTGGCGTGGTTTTGTTCTGCCCCTGAGCCCTTCCCCCTCCCCGCACTCGTCGCCGCCTCCGATACCTAGACGACGTAAGGGCGGCGTTCTAGTTTCTTGCACTGTATCATGAGCGCCTCTCGAGCGGTGGCCCAGTGCTGGTTTATGACTGCGTTAACACGCGTGGCGAGAAAATTGAGAAGACAAGACGAGAGACACGCAGTTGACAACCAAATCGCGAGAGATCGCCGAGCGATGTGAGCGATAGCAGCTTCGCGATGTACGCACACGCGTTCATCCATTGCTGACGCCAGTTTTTCGCCACCAACGTCCTTGTTCTGTTCCAACCTTGCAATTCTGTCAGCAATTCCTTTGAAGAAGAGCCGCCGCGGTCGCGTGCTTCGTCGTTGCGCGAATCGTCATGATAGATTGGCCCGAGTCGTCACGGTGACACTCCACGCTTCTCAGACTGTGTTGGTTTTGTAGTGTCATTTCTCACAAAAAGGCCACGGCTACGGCCGAATTGACGACTTTGCTGATGGTCCAGTTCTTTCCTCTCTTCAAAATTTCTTCAAGTCTCTCAAGGAAGGCTCTTTCATAGCTCTTTCCATATGCTGTTGATGCGCACAGATTATTCATCTACCCCCAGCAGCTTTTCCTCTTTGTGGGTGTGGCGTGTTTGCGCGGCGACCACTCTCTTGACCTCAGCCTAATCCGACATACGATACAACCGTGTCCGACAAGAGCAACCCTTTGACTGTGATCGACGCTTAAGTGCTCAGGCTACCGAACCGTAAAGCTAGTTATTCTACTTTTACAGGGATAACATAGGCATAACCTGAGATAATTGCTAGAAGAAGCTCTGATTGAATCGGGCACACCTTCACATTGTCCATAACGCTGGCTTAATATCTCTCAAATTACTCAGGTATGACTCCTTTCGCGACCAGCCCCTCCGTCACGCATGCTCTCTCAAACTAAAAGCTGCCGTAGAGAAGGGGGCGGGGACATATACTTCTAATCAGCTATCAAAAATAGTACTTTGCAAGCGCCGCCAGCAAGGAGAGGGTAGAGCGGACGTGAAAAGGCGGAATCAACAATCAGCAAATTTCACCATGGCAAAATAAGGAGCCCCCTTCCCAGCGGCCTAGTACACCCTCCTGTATTGCTGTACACAAGGGATGACGGGTCTTGCCCTCAGCTCATGAAATTTCATTGTTGATGTTGGAGGTCATTCCTTCAAATGCTCTCAAATCTGTCCGTATTTCCGCAGTACAAAATTAAGAGGATGATGCGGGAGTTTTTGCTTACTCTACAGGACCTCAGCTCTGAGATAATTGGGAAGTTTTCACGTCAGTTTTCCCTGAGAAGTGCTGGGCGTCCAACACTGGTCTGAGTCCTGCAAAAGGGGTTCTCTTCGCCCGAATACGCTTAAAGCTGTATGTCGTGTATAAGATGACAGATGACATAAACTCATTCGCCAGAACTAAGGACTGGGGCAGTTCGGCGATGTGGGGGGGGGGGGGGAATGGGGGGCATTTTGCACTTTTGCTACTTCCCATCGACGTGTCGACCCATCTAGAGAGCCTTTTCTTGAGTTGACAGGTTTTATCATGGTGGCTCGCGAGCTTGCTCCAGCTTCACAAGAGTTCACAGGTTTCGCCAGAGTGAGACTTGTAAACCGGAACCAGTGAAGCAGCGAAAGTGCAAAATGCCCCTCCCGTCGCCGAACTGCGTCCCAAGAATTTTCTGAACGCGCAAATCTACCGCTTTTAATTCGGGTTACATCGTGTAGTTCACTGTCTTGAACCTCTGGACTACCATTTCAAGTGTTGGTATCCCTTGAGAAAGTCGTGTGTGAGTCACAGATAACCTGAGTTTCTTCATAAAGGTTCCGCATAGCTTATAATTGCTCCACGAAATACATCCCACCACCCCTGCTAGCGGCCAGTGGTTTGTTTGCTCTGCGTATGTATGTGCTGCGTATGTAAATATCTGATGTGATTGCGGTCTTTATCACCGCATCTGGCCCCCCGCCGACGTAGTGCTGCCGCCTTTCTGTGTGGTTCCGCTAATCACCAACTATCAGTATGGTTCTGACAATGGGAATCTGCTTGCGGATGAACCCTATACTACGCCCATGCCATCGTTCTCCGCCTATCACGCGCTCTTTGATTGCGTGTAAGATTTCGCGAAGCTGTAAATCGAATTTCGAGGGTGTCGAAAGTCGCACGGCGCAGTTCGTATTTGGCCCCGACTACGACTACCGTATACGTGTAACAGGGATATTTTCGGTGAACACATGTCCTTATTCGCGATTGTTTTTGTTAGAGACGTCGCCAGAGTCGAGTACTTGTGAGGTCATTGTCTGTGACAATTAGTAGTGAAGCCTTGTGATCGCTGCGATACGCGACAGTTGCAGCCGTCGATCATCACAACCCGCACCGCAGGTCAGAATCACTACAACTCGCAACATGTGTATCATCCGTGTTAAGAGTCAGTCCAGAGCCGAACATAAGCTTTCTGACCTTTGAAGGGCCGTGCAGTTGTAGTTCGCAGGTCCACCACACCTCGTTTCGCGACGAGAACCGGTGTGGCTTCGAGTCGAGTTTCTGGTTCATACCGTATCCACGCGTCGGGTAATTATTTGGGCAAATGGCTAACGCAACCCCGAGTGATTCGTTGTTATTCCACTCGCGTTGGTTAAATGCTAATTATCTTCTCACTTGTTTCCATGCCGGTGTCGCAATGGCATTAGAGTCAGCGCGAATGGATGGAGTGTGCATTTCGCGGAAAGTCAGAGACTCGCGCCGGCTCGTCCAATTTGGCACCGCAACTTGTGGAATTGAGCACAATTAGGGAAGCAATGAGTCGCTTACAAGACCCTAAGGAGCTTCGCCAACATACTGATGATGATGGCACCTACTTGTCAGGGGCATTTGTGATGAATTTGTTGTGACCAATACGAAAAACAAGGAAGCAAGAGAAGAGGCATAAAGCAGTGGTGCTAGGGGGTGTTGGGCATGACCGTCACCTCGTGTGAGATCCCTTTCTCTCAACAGAAACACCTGTTAGTGCGTGTGGCACATAATATCTCACCGAGGCGCAAACACTGCTGTTCTTCTTCTCACTTGACAAGCAGCAACCACCGCCGGGCTACCGTAGCTTGTGGTTAGGGTTTTTTAGCCGGATGAATAGAAATATTGTGCAATTGGCAGCTCACCCTGATTATTTATGGCTGACACTTGTTCACTATTCCAGGGCACTCCTCGGGTTCTTTTGTTCAAATTCCAAAAACATCTTCCTTTGGGTGGTAGTGGTGGTTGTAGTAGAGCCCTTGTATGCGGGCCCAGGTTTGTAGTCGCCGAGGGCGGAAGAGCTGCGAGCCCGGCAATCGCGACGACATGTGTGTTTATGCGCTCGACCATGTGTCGCTTTAGAGCTGCGTGTCTGATTATGGTCGCCACGTCAAGTGCCACTGGAGGGCATCGTTATGATGTGCGGACGACGACCATCACGGCTATTGCATCATTAGATGATGTTTATCAACAGCGCTAACGAGGGCCATCATGAGCTCATGCTTTTCTCCCGAAGAACAACTGCCATATTGACAATTTCAGCGCTTCATCCAACCCTTCTCGATGACTCTGATGTCTATTTGGTAGCTCTGCTAGCCCCTTTGGCCGACTGCTCGGATGAACTTGACGACGAGGAGATTCAGAAGCTGCCGCTCAGACTTCAGTACTATGAAGGAACTCGTGAGCCATCGATTTCAATACGGCAAAAACTGGTCGAAGCCCTTTATCAGGTAACTATCGAATTTTCTCAGTAGAATGCAGGGCACATTGGGCGTCATTAGTTGGGGACCCCCCTTTTTTTGGGGAGGGGAGGGGGGGGTTGGTACGACCCCCTCCCTGGTTCCCTCCTTATCGACATGTCGAGCGGGGAAAGGGGGGGGGGCATGGAGCACATGCGAAACGGTTGAAACGGGAAAAATCGCGAGGAAAATGCGGCAGTGGTCCTCAGATCTCCCAACAACGAGTACCTCTTCCTTAACAACGTCCCTGGAAATCAAAAAAAAACAATTTTGATTAATCCGAATGCGACCCCCTCTCCCGGCGACTGATTACGACCCCTACCCACCCTGTTGGTGGTTCCCCAACCACGATGTGCCCTGTAGAAGTTCCGAGTCCTGCTATACATTCATCCATTCCAGTTATGCTCCACACGACATTCTCGCGAACACCTTCGGAAACGAGGAGTCTACGCAATACTTCGAGAACTGGATCGAGCAACAGAAGACGTGAATAAGAAACCAGAACAAACGGGATGGATTGGTGGCGTGAAGCTGTTGGCTGCGCAACAGGAGCATACTTTACATGCACTCATCGGAATTCTTATTCGTCTTGAAGATGAAATGGCCGTACATCCTGACGTTGAGAGCTTGAGATCACTTGAATAGTTTGTTGAAGATGTTGCCTCCATATTGATTGTTAACCTCATTATTACTTGTTACTGTTACTGTTGTTGTCGTCTTCTGCTCCTCTCCTTGTCATGAACACTTGCCTCTTATCGAAGTTTTTCCATCGTTAAGACGGAAGTTTTGTGCGCGAGAGGCACGTACTTGCGCACCACTGTTTCACCTCGAAATCAGCTGTGCCAATCGATTAAGCGGGAGGGTTCGTGGCGACGAACCGTCGCACCTCAATCGCCTCCTGCTTCATATCGTTGTGTTCGATGATGCTTATTCACATGTCGAATAAAGATATGAACGAGATGTCCATTTACGTTCACAGGAAAAAACGAACCAAACGACCACGCAGTTATCCAAATGCTTCAAAACGACGGCTCAAGTACGAGTACTGTACGAGAATGAACCTCGAAATGACGCGATGAACGGCGAGAAACCCTACCACTGATAACTAAGTTTTAAATGAAATCACTAATCACCAGCTGAAGGAAAATGATGAATTTTTCCATTAAAAAACGAGGGTTACGGTATCGAAAAACTATATAGTACGAGAGCAAATCCTGGAAAAGCGTTTTCTCCTAAAAGTGATGCGACATTTCACGTCTGGAAGACGTCTGTCTGCGGCGGTCATTGATAGCGCTGTGGCTAGTGACGACTACCGTAGTCGTGGCGCTGTCACCGACCGACCCCCGTCGTTGTTGCCCCGCCCCTCGGCGGACAGCCGCCAATCAGCGTCGCACGGGGCGTGGCACAAGTTGAGGTGTCAATTTCGGCAGTTGCGCGTGTGAGATGCGAGCATGGCGTTCAACCCGTTCCTGAGTCGTCCCGATCTAGCACTTCTGCCCTTCATGGGTCACCTACCGACTCTACCAGGGGCTCCGGGTTTCTTTCCCCGTCTTCCACCTGATTTACCGGATATGCGAGCCCGTAATGATGACGACGGTGTACAAGATGATCCACAGGTCGAACTGGACGACAAGGAGCTCTGGAATTCGTTCAATTCATGTGGCACTGAAATGGTGATTACCAAAAGTGGGAGGTAGTTGTTGATCCTTCATTTATCATCTGCTGAGCATTACCGTGCCGTACAACATTCCTTTTTGCAATTGCCATGTTTCAGACGTATATTCCCAGCGTTTCGTGTGAAGATCAGTGGTCTCGACAAGAAGAGCAAGTACATTTTCCTGATGGATTTAGTACCTGCCGATGAATGCCGTTATAAGTTCAACAATAGCAGGTTTGTTCGTTGAAGTGATTGCTTTTAGATTTGCGATTTTCGGGTATGTTAACGTAATGAAGCGTAAGGTGTTGCCAGTCAATTCCTCCTGATTTGATAGTAATGACACCTTTTATGACAGGCCATTAATTTCTCGTCGCTTGCCGTCCGTGCTGCTATCTTTTACCACTTGAAAATTTGTTAGGTGTTGGAGTCGTGTGTTATCAAGCGCCTGTTTCCACCAAGCGTCCATTCCATTGTCTATATTTCATTTTTTTCATGAATAGCTAGACAGACTTGTACTGAACATTTGGGTTCAGGTGGATGGTCGCTGGAAAGGCCGACCCTGAAATGCCAAAACGGATGTACATCCATCCAGACTCACCTGCCACAGGTGAGCATTGGATGGCTAAAGGAGCCAACTTCCACAAGCTCAAACTCACCAACAACATCTCGGATAAGCAAGGATATGTGAGTGTTTCCTCCTCAGTTCTTTTTCTTGCTCTTCTCTGATTTCATTTTGTTCTATTTTGTTCCTTCTTCTGGGGATTATCGCTTGCCAGCAGGCTTTTTCAATCGGAATTTGCCGTCGCCTTCACACTTCCCTTTGCTCCAGTCGCCTTTGTTTTGGCACTTTTGGTTTCTCTGATTCGCCTCCTTTGCTGATTTGTTTCTCATCCCTTCCCTACTACTGTCAGTGAGAAATTCACGTGGTGCTACAGCGGATGCTCGTTTATGTCAAGTGTGGAAGTCGCCACGGCTACCGGGGGTAAACGCTTGCCGCGTTTTATTACGGCCAGCCATATTTCACTACTCCTTTTCCAATTCAATGGGCGTCGTTGCCTTGATCACCGTTTGCTGCTGGTTTTGTGCTGTGTTGCTTCATTTTATGTTTATCGTGAAATTGGTATTTGAAATCGACCCCTTACCTCCGAATCTCCGTGGTCCTTGTGCCTGGGTGTCTCACTGACTGAGAGACAACGATAATCGGTGCAATTTAACCGTCAATGAACGACTCCGCTCCCCCGGCTCAACTCGCACCTCAAGGTGAATGCGCGTAATTATCCATACACACACGCACACGCTACTGTTTATACAGATCTTTTCAAATAGCTATGTTCAGTACCTCCTTTCTCCCACAGTTTTGCTTGAGAAAATCAGCAGGACCCTCAGTTTGATCCTGTTCAATTTTAGACCATCCTGAACTCGATGCACAAGTATCAGCCACGATTGCATATTGTTCGATGTGCTGAGATTATGAACCTTCCCTATTCGACGTTTCGGACGTTCGTTTTCAAAGAGACCGAATTCATCGCTGTGACGGCCTATCAAAATGAAAAGGTTTGCTTTTACCGTATATACCGTATATGCTGCTGAAATGCTGATACCCACAGTTATCACATGCTGAGCTGTTAGTGATTAGATGTAGCGGCGTGCTTTTGTGTACACTTTAGATATCACTAGCCAGCGGTTAAGCCAATGATTTCGCTGCGGTTTGCGTTTCTCCCAATCAGGCACAGCTTAGCCACTGATACAGGAGACATTGTGTGATAAAAGCGCCCCGCTAAGAAAACATTAGCAGCTTATTCAAACTTGGTAACTAGAACTTTGAACATTTTCAGGTCACTCAACTGAAGATCGACCATAACCCATTTGCCAAGGGATTTCGTGATGCTGGAGCAGGAAAGCGTGAGAAAGAAACGGCTGCTTCAGAATCATGCTCGAGAACAGCTATCACCACGTTCCTCGTCCGCACATCCGTCAGAAGACGCTTCTGAAGACGACGATCCTGCACCGAAGAAGGTACGAGAGGATCCGCCACCGAAGACGTCAACACCTGTTTCTACTGCCGTAACACCTTCCTGTCCACCCCGATTGCCTCCACAAATGTTTCCCTTTACGTTTCCTCCTGATATGTTTTATCCTACTCCGGATATGATATCCCAATGGCAGGCAGCGTTGTTACGGCCTCCACTGATACCCCCTACCATTAGTCCGGCCGTCGTGCCACCAGCTCCCCGAAAAGGCGGATTCGATGTCTCTGATCTCTTGTCTAGACCATGACACCCTTTCCTGTACATCTTAACATATTCTAATCTTGTCACGACGGGCTACGGCTCCATCTGTCACGACGAACTCCGAACTTTCAACCCCTTCCTCCCTCACATATCACCCTCTTTCTCGGAGTTTGTCGTGTCGTATAAGCTGTTCTCCTTTATACATTTGATCTTCTATGACATTGTTCGGGCTGATTCAACTATATATGATGTTTACAGTGATGATATAATTATACAGAAGAGTGAGAATATATCAGATGCTCAGCTTTAGTTCTTCTTTTTCCCCATTTTCTTTTCCTCTTCAGTTCATTTTTGTGACTTTATTCGGTCGTTCTTCTGCATCGCAACGACGATTCCTCGCTTTGGGCGAGATCTTCCTCACAGTCTGTGTTCATGTACAAAACCTTGTTCATTCCCAGTGATGATAAATTTAACTATGTCTTTCTGTTCTGTCTCTGTGTAAAGGAATGGTGTAGGATTACGGTTGAGAATGGTGGTAGAAAAGACGAGTTTTCGAGAGGCGTCAGCTCTCCGTCACATGAGTGAGTCACGCCCTCACATAAGCGCCACGCTCTCGCACCCTCAGTGACAATTATCCTTCGGACCCACTACAGTATCCCTCCCGAGTTCTGTACTGGATCATGTAAAGAGTTACTGGGTGAGGATGAGATTTTTGTGATTCATATTTACTAGCACGTTTGCACACTTTGTACACCAACACTTACAACCTGTAACAAGCTCTAGTAAGATCTGAGAAAGAAGATGAATGAAAACAAATCGACCAGAGATAATTTAGGTAAAAATACTGTAAGACAATACTAGTATTGCTATAGTTAAAGCTACCACGTCTAATCGGGCAAATAGGAAATTTTCTGGAAGGATTCGGTTAGTGAAGATGCCGTCGATGTGCGATGCGACACTACAGAATCTGATGCCAGTCGACGTACAGCCGAAGCGACGTCGGCGTTGGCGTCTCGAAGATTTTGACTTTGTCGACGAAGAGCATCTGGTACGGCGCCAACCAGCGCCCAGGCCTTCAAGGAATGACTTCTGCAGAACATGAGCAGTAGCACGTCGATGTCAGAGGCTTCACAACATCCAAATTCTGCTCCGAACGCCGATCTGAAAACAAACAATTTGCTGGTAGTGGTGTCTGGATTTCGGTGTCATTACAGTAACACCCACAGCAGGTGAGTATGCAAGGCGTCGCACTGTAGAGTGCCAGTTCGTCAACTAAGCGCGCTGCACAATCCTCTTTTCTCCTGCGCGCACAAGTATCTCGCAAATAATGATCCGCGAATTTCAACAAGCGACGCGCTATGATCTCTCAGAGCTCGTAAGACGGCCCAGCGCGACAACTTCTCGTCAACAGACACCTCACGTGCTGACACAGGGATTGGAAAATCACCGCCTGTAAAACTCAAAGTGAGATACATAGAACCTCAGTGTTCTGTCATTTAACGACCATCATTTGGGATTTCAAATGAACTTAGCTTAGTGGAATTCAAGCAAAGTGCAACAGAAGTGCATCCACCCACAGGATAGCGCTGAGCCCATTTTAGACGATGAAGTTTGCCTTAGAATACGGTATGTATTCAGCGGACTGTAGTGTTGTCGGGAAGGATGCGCATACACAATCGCTGTGAAATTCAATCGGTGGTGATCGAGCACACCAAATACGGCAACATGTCGTCAGTGACAGGTGGACAAGCACTACAGAACGAACGACATCCGCAGCCGTCACCCCCCCCCCCCACTCCCCCGCATGCTTCATACAAAGCAAGCATCATCGCCTGTGGGCGTCCAACGGCCACTTTCACCCATCAAGTGACACTTTCCCACTACTGAGAATGGCGCGCGGGGCAATGAGGCAGCATAATATCTTCAGCACCATGGAACGTGAGGAGATTACGGTAACACAATTCATTGAGAATCAAAATGCGTCACATACGGCACAATGCTTACATTTACTGAGGGCGATTTAGCGCTATACGTATGAAGTGAGGCAGAAAAGCTGCTTGAAAGCCACCTAAACCACACAAAGAGCTCGCGGAGTCCAAAGTAATCCCGGGCAACATTGCAGTTAATTCAGCATGTTGCACGGGAGGGAAAAAACGGAAAGTCACTTAAAACATTATTTCCTAGTAAAATGTTAATGGCGTCGCCGCCACAGCGCCAAAGCAATTCTCGACGAAGATTTATTGGCGATCATGTACGGTAGCGATGATCGCACACTGCCCCCGACTGCGCGCACACTGTACAGCGACCTATACCACCTCGCCCCAAATGGGAACACATATTTACCTGAGCTCCATGCGATTCATTCACCAGACGAACCATATCGTTCAGGGAATCGCTCATAAGCATCAGTTGGAAGAATAACTTGCTTAACAGTTTGCCCAGTTCCATCTCCTGAAACATCGAAATAGTTTGCTTCTGTGCTTAGCAGGTGGCTGGCGCTTAGCCAGCCACAACCCAACCCACAGGTCAGATTCGCTGTCAGAGCGCGTGTCTAATCGTCTTCCGCTCTACGATAATCTGCGCGCAAATCGTCGTCTCCAGGCGTCTCAATCAACACATTAAGATAGAACTCATCAATTGGAACCGGTTTCAAGGGAACCGACGAGGGATTTGGTCACGCAACCAGCACCTCAGCACTACATACTCTCTTATGACGAAAATAACTTTCTGCGCTGTAAACTGAAAAAGGAAGGAAAATGGGCTCGAATTGGAGATTATTGGGAATTCTTTACGCAGTATAGCCATTTGTAGCCGAGGCTGTTCCTTAGAAGTAACCTCAAAGACAATTCCCGCGACCAAATAGCAGGTGCTCATCTTGAACCAGTAGCTCATAAGTAACTCCCCGGTGAAGAAAGAAGCGAAAAAATCCTGGGGACACTCTGAACAAGACCCCCTTAGCAATGGGCGCCTGGAGGAGTTTGTCAGATGTCGGCAAGCCTAATCAGCAGACGTGCAACTGATTACCGGCAAGAGCACAGGAAATCACCCTACGACGCTCCAGGCAACGCTATGTACTACGCTCCTAACGTCGCAATCTCCTTGCTTTGTATTCAGTGGGTGTCTGGCAGAGGTGATTTTCCTGTGCTCTTTGCCGGTAATCAGTCTGGCACGGGGAGTTTTTGAGAAAAGTTAATCCGTTGGGTTGCAAATGGCTCAGTTGCGGGGAATAATCCAGCTCGTCTGCCCCCTTACCGTATCTTCTGGGCTTTTTCTCGCACGTTAAATTCAAAGTACCGAAGAAGTGCACTGTAATTCTCTGCGAAGCGCAATACGGGGGATGCAAAATGCCATGGGGGCCATTTTGTGGAGCCGCTTGATCACGGGAACTGTCTTTAATGTCTTGCTGCCCACACCAACCCTCTTTCTTTCAGCAGTTAAATCAATGCCTAAAACACGTACGCTGTTCGTCGTGAAACGCGGAAGCTGAGCCAACAAGAGCGTTCAGTTTGTACGCCGATTCTTCACACGAATATCAGCAGCTGAAAACAAGAGGTTAAAGAGGAAATGCCATGGGCATCTTCATCAAATCACACTCATCCGTCATCATTTGCCGACGCATGCCTAAGCCAGAGGCAAAGCTGTGATGGTGTTGAATTTCGTCGATTTCCACGCCCTCCGATCGGAAGACAGCAGCTAATTTGCAATCAGATGACTACTGGGAAAACATCAACGGCAAACAATGACAGACGAAGACAAGTCACTTGGCGAATTAAAAATGAAGTGAGCAATTTCTACAGACTAACTGCCTATGGTAGCGCATTGAACTAACACGAATATTTTGTTCCTTTCTTTCATTGAACGTCTCCCAATGTTCACGAAGCTCGAATAACGACAACTTCAAGCGTGGTAGGATTCCAGAGCAACGCAACTGAAATTGTTGATAGAATCATGTGAGGTTAAAGTTTACCTCAGCTGAAACCTCACATATTGCGCAGTGACGAACAGGAATGGACAGTCTGCCACGCCGGTGAGCACGTCTTGCGCGTGGGCGAACGTTCTTGCCAAGGGACGAGAGGAGAAAATGTGCATGGCGTCTCGCAGTAACGACGCCACTCGTCCGCAGCATGACTGGAAAACAAAACGCTTGCAAAGCCACTATGGTAGAAGGTGCAAGAGCTCAAGCAAACCTCCTCGAACAGAGGGGAGAAAACTGAAATCGGATACGGTGAAGGAGATTAGCCTAGAAGGCACGATCGGGTGACAACGTGACGAAAATAGCGCGCGCCATGAGATCTCAGCCACGAGTGAGGGCTAAGCATTGGCAAACATAGCAGGCAAAGCGTTGCCAGGAAATAAGGGACAAGTCAGCAATCTCAAGGGATTGACTTACCCTGAACAGTTGAGTAAAAAGCAGTGTAGCGTATGCGGTTAGTTCTCCTTCTGAATCGTCTTGAAGTTCAGCAACATTGAGATTCCATGTGGCGTCAACCTGTAAAAAAAGTTTAGTTTGAAGTAACCCTTCAAGACAGCTCCCGCGATCAAGTGGTCAGCGAAATGCCTCCCTGCATTTATCATCATTGTCGGCACTCGCAGAGAATGCCACTTTCGTTACTCGAAACGGCGAGGTAAAGAAGCTAGAGATGCGTGATTATTGCAACCACGATTACTTTCAATCAAGACAACGGGCTCACTAAGCGGGAGTTGCGGCGCATACCTAACGTTGCTAGCAGCGTCGTAGGGTGCATTTTCCCGCGCTCTAGTGGGGAATCTCGCTTGCCACATCGAATTACTTCTGATTGGTCGATTGCCGGACCGTCTGACAAACTCGATTGCGGCTCTCTGTACTTCAAAGGACTGTTCCTTTTAGGGTTTTTTCGTTTGTTTCTCTTTTGAGGAGTTACTTATGGGCTACTGGTCATGAGTGAGCACCTACTAAACGTAACACTTGATCGCGGGAATTGTCTTTAAGGTAAAAAGTAGAAATCAGAAGTACCTTTCCATCAAGATGATGCGGGCATTGAATATACACAGGACAGGTCGGCGTTGTTTTTTGGGGCGGGAGTTAGAATTCTCCTATTGATGTCCGCGAACGACAGCAGAACGACGAGCCATCGATGGATTCCTCATCAACTCCATTCAAGCGATCGTTCGGCCTAAACTCAGGAACAATCGACATGAAGTAACTCCGTTGTCCTGCTTCCAACCTCTTCTCAAGCACATCCCGTGACACGGCAGACGATGGACTGATGCGATCTTGCATGGGCATCGGTCCTGTTGGCGGAGACTCGTGAACAAAGCCCTCCTCAGCTTCTGCAAGTCGTTTAGATTCAGTTGGTGGGGGTGGAATTAGAAATGCGAAATAATGCGCAAACCGTTCTCCTCTTCATCCACTTCTGATGGACATGGTGTACGATCGGAAGAGGCTGATGTCCGGGAAAGTCGAGAGGTGGACGCTCCTCCACCCTCTGAGTTCCCTTGCGCACCTTCCGAGTCCTGAAAGTCTTATATGGGAGAAATCAAAAGCACCAAGGACTGCAGAAAACCAACCTTCGTCCTCAAGTCCGGCGTCAGCGTTCGTCTTCGTGAGCGAGCATGCTTCGTCTTCCTCCAATCGCATTCTTGACGCATCGTCGACAGCCTGAGCCGAAGCAACTGCTCCGCCGTCTCTGACACGGCTGTCATGTTCAGCTTCCAAAAAGTCGAATTCCTGAAGAAGAAGTTCATTTCAGGTTGGTTTGGGTGATGGGAGTTGCTAGAAAACTACCTTGAACACCCTTGGGAAGGAGTCTGTGATACTGGCAGATGGATCAGGCAGTGATGTTGTTGAGGCGACCTCCTTAAATGAGGTCATTTGATAAATGCCATCGGGAAGGCCCTTTAGACATACCTGTGACGACGTGCAGATTCTTTCAGTAGAAGTAGCAGTACTACCAAGTTCACTCTGAGAGAACACTACAGAAACAGCTGATGGCAACCCCACACGAAGTCCGGACGCTGACAGAAGTCCGACAAGGCGATCACGAACGCGTATCTGAAGAGAACCGATGGAACCCTGTTTCTCAATCGATATCCTGGAACGGGTTTCATGGAGAATTCGCAGAACTCACATGAGGAGGTACTTGCTTTCTGACGTTGCCAATGGTATTCGTACTGCTCGACTCAGCAGTGGGAACGGTAGTCTTTCTCGGTGATGGTGGACTCAGACCTGAGCCCAGTCCAGCTGAGACCAACGAAAGCTCAAACTCAAATCCGGATGTGCTGTCACCATTCTGAATAATCCACTTTGCATTTACAATTCTCAATGCAAATATATCATCGGTCAAAATATGACAACAGCGAAGAGCTTAGCCTATAATCGCATATACGGTACATATGTTTCTTTTCGAGGGCGGTTGGTTAAAAGGGTTGCGGAATTGTCGCGCGGAGAGGTCATTAACAATTTAACAACATTCTGTGACGAGGAGGGTCGGATTTCATGCCCCCGAACAGCGCCAGGTGTCGGGCACATTAAGCGCGTCGGCTACGAGGGACACTGTGTGTGGGTGCTGTGCCTGCACTGCCGAAGTAGATGCTATCTTCAAAGAAACTACTCTCATAAAGGGGTCGAACACACAGTATTAACGACGCCACCTCGCATCATCTCAAATCAGACGCAGTTATTACGTCGTAGCCGACCGCTCCGATAAATGAACAACCCTCCTCAAGTCATCGCCACTCCCCTACATCTTGATTTTTTTTCTTTCTTTTGGAAGGGTGACGAGATTGTGACAACATATGCCAGACGGAATTGCGCTGCTGAAACACTGTGGACACAGTCGCCAACGTCTGGCGACAGACGTTGCCACCACTGCTTCGGCAAAATTGAATATGGATTGAATACGGAACACTTCCACACATTGTCAAAATGGAATTTCAAGGGTTTGAGAGAAACCAATAATCTTGAAAAACACAAAGAATGTAGACTTCTACCGTAAAAACAAAAGGAGCACCACAAATTTCATTGCAAAAAAACTCCAGTGATCCAAAGGATTCAAAAGGTTTTGCAAAAAAAATTATTTTCATTTCTTCCTTCGGATATTTCGGTGTTTAGCACCTTCCTCAGCGATCTGAAATACTGCCAGCTGGAACCGTTGTTAAGCTGCCTCTAACGGTTGCAAGTGCAGTCTTTCAGATTGCCCAGGAAGGTACCAAACACCGAAATATCCGACGGAAGAAATGAAAATAATTTTTTGCAAAACCTTTGGATTCCCTTGGATCCTTGGGGGTTTTCTGCAATTAAATTTCCGGTGCCCCTTTTGTTTGTACATCCAGAGGCTCCGGGTCAGCACACTATTCCATAGTAGATTATCATGTGTGTTGGCAGTTCCAATGAATCTTCGGAAACCACGACTAACAAGTGAAGGAAGATTTTCAGCTTAATTTTCAAAAGGGGATGAGTTCGAAAAGATAGTATATTTTTCGTATCTCATGTTTCCCTAGAAGTTCATGTTACATTCTCCAGAGGAGAACATAGGCATCTCAGAGTTCAGAAAAGCTTCTGAACCTGCAGGAACGACACTTATAGTTTCCTAGTCTCCCTCTCCTCCAGAAAAGTCTCCCTTCTCCTCAAGAAACCTGAAATTTGTTCTGACCGGTCCTAACAGATTGAATGACGGGCAGAACCTGAAGCCCTCCTCGGTTTATCTGTTCGAAACGCGTCCCTATAAGACTTGCTCCACCGAAGACTCACCGCAGCATTGTCCCGTTCAGCATTCTGCCATTGCTCAACTATCACCTTGTAGACCCGTGCAGCTTCACGCCAGTTCACCTCGCCTGGCACGAGGCTTGTTGACACCAAACTTTTCCAGCAACGAGAATGCTAAAAGGTGACCCACCTGTACATGTCGTGACACGCTTCGTATAACCTAGAAAGAAAAGGAAGTTATATTTTGAAATCTTTTTATTAGTGCTGAACCACGGAAGAGAACGCAGGAAGAGAGGTCCTTACTCGACCGTCACATTCTACTTAAGTAACACTAAGCGAAAAAAATAAAAGTAAGGGGTCAGTTCAAGTTGGAAGAAAGTACAGCTCCGTCGCCAGACACCTGGACAGACCAGCTTCTGGCAGCTTTTTGAACAGCGATTATAGGGGCCATCACGCTCAATTCCCCTCATGTTCTTATAGAAGGACAGCATTTTTGAGTCCTGATTTATTCTATAGAGGAATATCGTTGCAGCGAGCTGCGTCTACCTGCCAGGGAATTTGAATTCAGTTCTTAACAGGAAACTTATTGGACCCTGCTTTCAGTAAATAGGGGCATTGTATGAACTTTCGCAAGATCGTCCAGATTGTATTAGTTCACCAGGACAACTTTGCTTTTGAGGGTCTTTTTGTAGGACAAGAACCTATCGAAAACGCACTTATCAGCACCACCGTGAACGATGCCATCCGCATCGTAACAGACGCAACGCCAATAATATTCCGGTTTTGAATTTTTATTGTTCTAAGGAGCACACCGTTGGTGCGGCTGAATGAAGTGCGGATATGACGCAGATGGGACGGCCGACAGGGTGTGCGATTAGCGAGCGAGCGCGACGATTCGCTGCCGAGGCCGCGCCTGCGAACAATATGGTGCGCGCCTATCAAAATGTCGTAAACTATGCAAAAAGGCTTTCCCGGCAATCATTAGATGAACATGCGGGCTCATAAACGAGTTCATGCCGGTTATAGTAGTGGGAGGGATCGAAACCTCACGAGGGGGATCGACATGAAAATAACTCGTGAGGAAGTGTTTCTGTACTGCTGTTTTGTCCTGAACGCAGAGATTTAGTTCTCTCGTCCGTAATGAAAGTTTATGAGTGCGACAAACCAGCTGACAGGAGCAGTGGCCATTTGGATGCACAAATGTTGTGCCAGAAACGCGAATAAAATCCGAGTTACGATCGCCTTCACGCTGAACGGCTGTCTCCATCGCCTCGGTTGCTTCGTAAGCGTAAGCGCGTGCAGGGGAACAGCCTTCGTGTGATGCGCAGCACGTCACGAGCAATTTCTGGCGCCCTAGCACCAGCGATTATCGTAATTCCTTGATTGCCACAATACGCTCTGCTGAACGCCGCTGCGCAACAAGTCACAGCAGCAGCCGAGGATTACGGTGCAAGTCACCGCCGCCTATCGCGTGAAACGAACGGCATCTCAAAAAGGCAGGTGCACCACTAACGAGGATTACCTGGGCTTGATTGGGGACTGGATGGAATACGCCAACTTGGTGTTGGTCGAAGGCCGTCTAGAAATTGCTGAACCAACCTGTGCGTTTATCACCAACGGTGAAGTGATCGCATCTCTTCTCAACAGCAACAAGTACAACATGTGCAGCATGTACACATGCATCGACGCCATTCCCTTCTCCAGCATCTGAAAAGCAGTTCCGTCAAAGGTACGTACGAACACTGAGGAAGAGTAACCAGGGCGCAGGCTTACCCTTTGGGACCTGAAGTTTGGATTACCGCTGATTTTCCTCGAAAGAACATTCGGGCCAGTCTGCGGGGGAGGGGGGCATTCGGCACTTTTGCTGATTCCCATCAATGTGTCGAGCCATCTAGATACCTATTTCATGAGCATACATGAATTTACAGGTTTTACCACGGTAAGCGACGAACAGTTGCTCCCGTCATCAGGCGTTTCCACAGGTTTCACAAGGTTGAGAAACGACAGTGAAGCATGCGAAATCGTTGCAAAAATGCACCCTGTCGCCCATACTGCGGCTCAGTTCTATTTTACATTTTGTTTGATTTTACCAGCATTCTTCCCACAGTGTAAATACGTGAGCGTCTCCTGGCATCTTGGTGACGGCATTTGCCAATTTCTTTGTTTTTGTACTTGAATTAGTATGGTAGAACAAAAAAGCCGGTCGGACTCTTGCTACAAGGAAAGGAGAGCGGAAGGGAGCGAGGGAGAAGGCGGGGGAGGAGGGAGGGGTGATCGCGAGGAATAAGACCGATTAAATTATGAAAACCTGTAAGCTTGAATTTACAAAATGGCTCAACCTTCATTTATATTAGGCCAGATTAAGAGATCTCAAAACAGACCTGGGATCCGCGCATTAGTATAAGATTGCCACCAGATGGACCGCACCTATCTGGTTCCCTTATTGAAGGGCAGTACCGGCGACGGTTGGGGAGGCATTTTAGGCGCTAATTCTCATCGCTTATCCTGCACTACGGAGGTATTTATTGGGCTTACAAGATGTTAACAAGTTTTCCATACGTGGTTCGAGAGCTTACTTCAGCTTCACAAGAGTTCACAGGTTCCACCAGAGTCAGACTAGTAAACCTTAACCAGCGAAAGTGCAAAATACCCACTTGCCGCTAATTGCGCCGTTATTATGCAATAACAAACTGTACCGAAGGTTACAGAGTTCGAAAATACTCGTGCTAACGACTAGCAATTACTTTCCCATCACCCAGTAACGTAGACCTGCATTCTCCGTTTTCGTTTCTTCTAATTCAACACCCAATCCTCGGCTCCTTCATATGGTAACCCACCTGGAGAGAAGATTCATTAGGGAAACCAGATGTAAGGTCTTGAGTAAAAAAAGGCTGGAGATCCGATCAACTTCTACGAATCATCGCGTTCTCTAGAGCCAGTGCCGCTTTTAATTTCTTCCAAGGCAGCAGCAGCACTTCTCCAAAACGAAACAGGCATATCGCGTGCAACGGAAACGCGTGTCGCGAATAGCACAGCTTCGTTTTACGGCACTTTTGTTGCTAGAAAATCGTCACATGCGCTTCCTTTTACAGCTAAGGCTAGTCGGTAAGTAGTCTACAGTAATGCAAGCGGATTAATGTTCCCACAATCACTACCTGGCTTTTGGC